ACTATTTTCGCTGCCATCTAAAGAATTTTGTGGCTAGCATATTATTGACGGCTGATTTAAACGTAAGGATATGAGAATTTATTCAGATATAAGAAAGCGAATCACAAATCTCGGCGACACAACAGGCAGATCTCAAGGGGACCACGCAGTGGATGGTTATATTTGTGAGTTGGTGTAGCGTCGAAGAAAGTAAATGATTAGTGAATGCGTCTTGCGTCCTGTTCTTTACAGGAGGATAATTGCCCTTCCTACATTTCTACATACGAATCGAAAATCTTCATTTTAATTTCGGCGCACAGTATCTGAATTGCAAAAGAGCTGTTTCTTTACGTTACGGTACAAATTATTGTTGAATACGGTATAGGCAGAGAAATATCGATGTCACGAATTCTCAGGTACATGAGAATAATGTTACGCGCTAAAGATGCTCTCTACTGTAATATATTTAAGCTTCAATGCATTTTCACGCTTTCTCCAAGTCATTTCTAGTGATAGATCTCGGATATATAGTGAGCATAATATCCGTGACAACTGAATCTTTGTAAGTTTTTCGTAGAAGTCTTTCCCTTTTCAAAAATCTGTTTTCTGCCAGCAATAACGATTCAGTGTTCCACTTTCATATTCATAAATTTGTCTTTTCCTGGTCGTCAACCGTCAAAGTAATTCTTTCATGCTTCTGTTCACTGCAATATTCTTATTTACCAATATAATATTGAATGCTGGACGTTTTTTTAGAGATTTGCGAAATTACACGTATTCGATATTTAATCTATAAACTTTCGCTACATTCATTCTTTTTCGTTTCCTTATTTCTTTCGTTTGCTTGGTAATTTTTCGATGGATTCTGGCAGACCATTTCCCAGAGGTGCTTTATGCCGTTTCTATAATTACTTTCATCATATTTAGATACATGATGTTAATAAACATGACTTTTTTGTTTCTTGATACATTCCGTAAAAGACGTCGATTCAGTTATTTAATTTGACTCGGAATAGCAGAAAGTTCTTTCGTGTTCTGCGTCTCGTATTAAGCAGTTTCCTCCTTTTCGAAACTGAGACCACGTGCAATTTGCATCTGACAAGCATGTGATCGTTTCCTGCATTAAGTTGTTCAGCACCGTGACGTCCTGCACTGTTTTCATGTTACTAAGGATGAAATCAATTTAATCCTTGACCCAGTTTTGGCATTTCCACGTTCATTTTTTGCTTCGTTTTTTCTGACACGTGTCCATTAGTCAGTCAACACTGACATTTATTTCGTTGTAACTAAATCGGTCCTTATACGCCCATCGTTCACTGCTTTGATACGGTCTGATTTCAGCATTGAAATCACAGCGGCTTTCCAGGTTCATCCACTTCTTCTCAAAAATCATAAATCTCTTCATCAGGATGGCATAATGTCGGCACGTATACAGGGAATATCAGGTTAAAACTCAGGACTAGTGTTGCATACATAAGTTGTGTGTGCACATGCACTACTCTGTTCCTTAATCCTCTGTAGATAATCCCCCCTACTACCACTATCTGCTGATTCTGTGGTTCTGCTTTTAAACCGCAACAGGGGGCCTTTTCATCTGGCTTCTCTGAGTCCTACAACATTCAACTTTATTTTCGTAAATGCTTCGTCCCGCTATTGAAGCCCGTATCATCTAGGAGTGATCTGCAGTTGTACACCGTCAGCGTAAATATATCATAGCAGCTCCGATCAGTAAAGCAGATATTCTTAGCACTCTGCGCATTTGTCTAACCAGTTGCTGCCTTTGCCAACAACATCCAGCCACGCGTAAATGGTTTTATCTTAGAGGATGCGCCATAACTCACCACGCTTGCCAGGGAAATGGTGTTGCCTTTACCACTGGCTCGGTGTATTTCCGAAATTCACTGCATGGTGGAACTAACTGGTACGTACAGGTTGAGTTGTACATCATCTTGAGATTCTATTCTCTCTCTTACCACGTTAAGGTAGGACTGATAAGGTCATTGAACAAATAGATGCATTAAATGGCAAAATAAATTGGATCGTACACAGTTCTTGTGGAAGCTGTTTATATATAAGAAAAGCTCAACAAAATCATAGACTAAAGTAACAAGGACACAGTTCATAATAGAAAACATAACATCTAAGCAAAAGACTAAATAAATTACGAGCTAAAAATAAACAGACAAGAATTTGACACATCTGTAAAAATAACCATACATAAGTTAATCGCTCACAGAATTTTACGATGTTTTCATCATACCAGAAGAAATTACTACACTTGCAACAATAAGAAATAACAAGCTATAAAACAACAACACTTAAAGAAATTTACACTTTCAACAAACGGACAGAAAGTCGCCGAACGGACGTCGTCAACGGGCCAACGAACCAGCGAATCTACCACAGCGTTGGGTCCGGTGACGGTGGTCAGCCGCACCTGAGAAGCTGTTCGGCGGACGGACGGATCGACGGCTTACACGATTTCGGTGCTGCATGGACGGCTACCATCGTCTCAGTTATCGCACATGCCCCAATATTCGTGCTGCGTCGACCGGTGCTTGTAATTGCAACGCCGCTATGGGAAACTATCGAAATGACTGAAGATAGTCGATCACCGCCTGGTAACAGAATTCGTACTGTTGCTAAACGATGCATGGTAAAAGCAGATAACAGCCGCTTCATATACAAATTAACGTACGAACCGCTTAAATACACAGTTAATAAACTGACAGGTCAATAAACCGATTGCAGAGACACTTCAGAGTCCACAGTAAACTTTTCAATGCCCTTACAACAGCGTATGCTAGAATGTTTAAGAACCTTTCAAACGACCACCCCTTTAATCTAACCATTTGTTTCGCGCTACTTCGAAATGGGTAGAGAAATGTTTAAATTTGGCATGTATAAGCGTATCCCTCTAGGAAAGTTGTAAGTTAATCGAGCTTCTATCACAACGCAAAATATCTTTGTTACAAATTAACCGCTTTCACTTTTATTTGCTAACGCTTTGAACCATTTGTCCAGTTCAAATAAATTTAAATGAATCAATTTTTGTCATATTTCGTTTATTAAGTTGCCTCAGTCAGGTCCGTGAGTACTACGAGACGTATACCCTAAAGAAAGAACAAGAATGATGGTCGAACTGCATACAACAGTGTTGCCTTCGACGTATAAAGACAGTTAAACGGCAGAATCACATTGAGAAAAGACCCTATTCTCTTCCTGGTACATATGATCCCAGAAAATGTTGGCCTCGTTGGTCGCAATTGCTGAAAGTAAACCATTTATCCAAATAGGCAAGATTCTTGTGTAAAAGCTAAAAACAGCAGACGTCGACCAGAACGTCAGCATTCATCATGGAGGAACAAGACAGACATATCTGGTTGCAGAGAAAAATATTACGTTTTACGATTCAGCACCCGGTACCTTATAGCAAAAGCACTGAAACGCTTTGAATACAGCGGGCATGAAAATTAGAGACGTTCTGCTTAAGCAAATGGTTCAAGACATGGGCACACAAACAACAATCAAACAGGTTGCATCAAAAGGGTATTTTTTCATTAAAATGTAGACAATGGAAAAAAACTGATGGCACAGTAAAAGGAGAGATAAGTTCATTCGCGCTGCTAACCAAAGCACATCCATTAATCGTTCTTGCAGTGCAGTGTGCATAAACTAACGACAATTTTCGCTCGTAGGATATAAAGAGTGAATCACAAATTATAGAAGTCACTCTAATGACGTTCTGATAGATATAAAATATTTGAATGCTGCGTTTCGACATGACATAACATAAGGTGCCAAATCACTGAAAAAAATTCACACGGCGAAGGTCAAGATCTTGGAGAACGAATTAGTGAGCTTCAGGATTTGTTACTGACAACTGAACGATCCTTCTTGATAATTAATGGGATTCACCACTGTAAACCCTCAATGAATATCGTGATCTGTCTCGTCAGGCTTGTCACAGGCTCCAAAATCTATCTTTTAGCTAATCGTATCATCTGCGCTGAGATCATCCAACTAGGCGCTTGCAACCTCTTGGGTATTAACTCCGGTCACCACTGAAGTCAATCGATCATCCGTCATTCGTGCGATACAGTTCGATTCGACATGCACGCACGAAACTTCAAGCCATTTTGTTTGTGCTGCTGTCCATTTCTCTCGATCTTGGCAAATTGTTTTGGCCACTATTTTATGCTCGTCAGGGGTCTTTGACAGCACGTCCATTTGTCCATAATCCTACTAGAACGGGGTTTCAGGTGACGGTCTTGTTAAGTTTACATCGATAAGTTTTCCTCGGTGAGATCGGGCACAGCAGGCTATACAATGGAAAAACGACATCATTTCAGAAACAAGTTCAACAACGATTCACATACAGAGAACGGTAGTAATGACGTTCGTCTCCCGGCAGTAAAGGTAGTTGGCCTGTGACCCACCACTAAACTCTACGCAATGACAATGCGACAGCAGAAGGTCAATAAGTCACGCAGAGCCTCAGCGATACTGCAGAGAATGAGTCGGCGAGACATTATCAAAGCTGATGCATGAATCGGCAGAGCAACAAACGATATTATTTTATTGGGGATTGGTGTTAAATTATTTTATTGGTGTTAAAAAGGCTATAGTAATGTATAATGTTTATACGATTCTGGTGATGTCCCGCATCACTGCCTTCTAAGTTACAGAATCGAGAGCCAAGTCAGGCATCATTAATAACTACTGGGGCTTCCACCTTCGTAATAGGTAGATAATAGACATTAAGATCTTTTCTATGTGAGACCCCACTGTGTCCATCCACGTCATGATTAGATCACAATATCACTGACGTCATTCAGGTCAAGGAACGAGGTGAAGTGCTATACTGTTCACCGAAAGACACTTCTGAGACAGCATAATTCAGCGCTGTTGATGACATCTACGAAATAAGTGGTTGCAGCAGTGGTTGCGGATCAGCGAATTCGACCTCTTTCCAGACGACAAACTCGCAGTCGAGCATGGAGATGCAAATGATCGAACACGTCGAACCTTCTGAAGTCTTCCGCAGGAAGCCACCAGCATTCTCAAATATGCTGTAAAACTGATCTGCAAACTGGTGGCTTGTGGGATGCGGACTTTAGTTTTATAGGAACCTTCAGTGCTCGAGAAACACTCGCGAGAGTCAGGACGTACTGATCGTTTACTCTCAGCCACGACCGAATCTTTGCGTTTTGGAGTACTGGTGAGCAACTGTCGTCATGATAATGAGAAATAGTGACGGTGAAAATCTGCTGATCTGTGTGTATACAAGTGGTGCTATTCAATTATAAAAGTTACTGTACAGAGAAGATTTATGTTTAATGTCGAGTCGAATATTATGGAGGTTGGTTCGGTTGGCCCTCTCCAACTACAGAGAAAATTTATCGTCCTTACAAAACAGACTAAGAACGCAAGCCTGCCACCTTAAAGAGTAATGTTAAGTAAAGCTAAGTTACGAGTGTCGTGATGATGCCCGGCCGCCGAGCTCTTAGCGTTTTAACGGTCTGGAATACGTCGACCCTGTTTTCCGCCCTCAATCTTTCCAACAGCAATGAAACCGCGCAGTACAGACCGCTCCTCGACGATCCGTCCCTAAACAGCAATCCACTGTAGCGCAAAGGCAGTAAAAATTGCGACATAAAATAACCAGTACCGGCAGTGAATAACAATAGGACCAAGTTTCGCAAGAACAACCTGCCTCTGAAGTACCTTGCCGATCAAATCCAAGAAAGAAGCAGTGCCATTCGGTACGAGTCCGGCATCCCTATCAGCAGGAATTAAAGACGCCGTCGTACTGTCCTCTTGACTGCATGTTTCAGACTCCTTGCGTTTCATGCCAGTCCAGTCAGTGTAACAATATTGTACGACCTCTCGAAGTTCCTTCTCCTAAAAGCGACGACATGATCGATCGACAGATGATTCAAATGAAGTAACCATAGAGTTACTTTAGAGCTGCCGACGATAAGTTTGCGACAAACGAAATAGTGAGATTCCTCCTCGCTAATAAGCTGAACGGTTATCGTCGGCTTTTCGCCAAACGATACACTGTGATTTATTTCTGTCGGCCAGTACTAAAAGAACACAATCAAAGCAAGAATTACGCGGCAGTACAACGAAAGATCTAAAAGAAACGACACTGCAATCAAAACAAGTCTAAAATAATAAACATGAAATTCCATGGCATAAATAAAATAAAATATAACCCGATATTCTGAGACAGGTCTCACGAAAGTCAGCTTTCCAATTCC